TAATGATATATTATATTCCGGATTAAATTTTATTTTTTTCCGAGCCTGTTTAGAGTTCTTTAAAATTGAGGAGTTGAGCCTAAACTAGAGAAATCGAAGACCCTTTTAGACTAGAAAAGGAAACCGAAGAAAGACAGACGCACGTACTACACAAGGCTGGACAGTTTAACTTTTATTTCTTTGGTCAATTCCACTTGTACATCAAAATTTGTACATCAAGGGATACATCCCTCTCACATGGGAGGTGGGACCCATTGAAATAATATTTTTTTATTCGAGTGGACCCCACCCCCATGTGAGAGGGGTGTAAACCCCGATATAAATCTTGATGTACCACTAGCATGGTTCATTTGAAATGAATCACATTTTGTTGATTTTTCGGTGATTTCATTTGAACTTTATTTATTTAATTCAACATCGTGCTAGATTGGATTATTATTGTGCTAGGATCAAGATGAATTGTCGTAGAGTTCGAAAAAGAATAGAAATATATAGCTATATTTTACTTGTTCTTTAAGTATTCATAAATGTTTAATACGTATTTATATGTTCGCAATCCGTTATAGAAATATAGTCGGGTCATATGTAAAAATATATTTAATTATACTCGAATGATTAAACAAATTATGACTATTGATATTCATAATTGAATCGTGTTGTCAAATTTATAAGTTTCGGATTAAAGATGATTGATATAAAAGAATTTGGGATCCTAGTACGCTTTTCATCGTCATATTTTTATAAAACTTGCATTTAATTATAATCTTGCATTTATTTAGTTAAGTTATGTCTTGCATTCATAAGTAGATTATTTAATTTATAGGAAAAATCACAAATTTTAATTGTTTAGGTTAAGGCTAAATTAATTCAAATTTGAACAAGTACAATCTTCGTGGGTACGATACTTGAACTTAAAAAATTCATTTTACTAGTTAACGAATCATGCACTTGCAATATTTTCGTGACAAAAACAGAGAAATGAACAAGGTTTATAGATCACCAAGCATTGTACGACTCACCTTTAAAGGCAAGCCAACCACAAGATGTACGATGCATTTGAGCCGCTTAGCTTTATACCCCTAGGTTTTTTTCTTTCTAATGATTTTTTTATTTATACATTTTATAGGGCCTACAATTTATTTACTTATCATATATTTCGTAAGATTCACAACTTATATGCATTTAAAAACTTTGTAAAATAATGCTTACAATGGAGTGTGTTGGTCTTCTACCTTTCAATGTAGTCATACAAGTAATCTTAATGAATAAAAATCATTGAATTTTATATTGAGCCCGGTTTGGGCTTCATTTTTTCTAAAAATACTTTTTTTTTTTCGAAACACATTTTCAATCACGCATTTTCTAATAAAATAATGTCTTATTAAACTCAATTTTTTTTTAACTATACATTCATAAAGATGGATAAGTGTATTACTTGTTTTTTTTAACTATACCCAAACACGGCCCGAGATGGATGTGCATGACATGATAGACAATATATTGTAGATAAAATAGGAAAGACTAATACTTTTGATAGAAAATAAAGAAAAGAGGAAAATGGTAAAGAAAAGAATAAGAAAGTAGGTCGGGCGATCGTAGGCCGACCTCCAAAAATAGGAAGTGAAGACCTAGGGTTAGATGGGATAGGCTAGATAGAACCCCGAGCAATCATTGTTAGAATAATTGAAAGCCATGAAATTGATCTCCTACCCCAGTGGACAGGATAAAAATTTTCCATTGACAAGATAACGTTAATATGGTTCTCTGGCTACTGGGGGCAAGATATTAGGCATGTTGAAAGACAAGGGAGGTGAGAGGGGATTGGTGTGAAATGGGGATTGAGAGTCAGCGCAGTTAGAACAACAGCTAATGACTAAGGGTTGAGATTCTAACACAATTGGAGGGTAGGGTGGAGTTGAAGAATGTGATGTTTTGTAGTTTGTTTTCATTTTTCTTTTATTTATTTTCGGTATAAATCAGGGTATACAATTTTTCTCAACGAAAAAAAATTAGTTTTTTTTTTAAATATATAGAGTTTGTCATCGAAAACAACAGTACTATAAAATTGAAAAATTATGATCGCGTTTTTTGTGAAAAATAAATCGAGACCAATTTTGCTTCAATTATTGTAATTTTGATACCATTAAAGACCAACGGGACAATTTTCCAATTTGCTCTTTTCCTTTGGAGATGGAATTCAAAATGAAAAATAGTCACTTCGATTCATCTTATCTTGATTTCTTGAATAGAGAAATTCATGAATCGAGATTCTGGTATATATGGATACAAATGGTCGTACAACTAAAGTTAATAAGATTGGGTTAAATGCTCATTGGGTCATTCAAATTTGAATGGAGTTGCATTCTAGTTACTCATTTTCAATTTCATGTAATTATGTCGTAAAGTTTAAACCAATGGATTGTTGGCATATAGAAACGTGTTGTAGTTCATACTTTAGAAAGTGTTTTTAAGATGGGTAATGCATGTTATGTTAGATAGATTGACAAGATAGTTCAGTTGACAAAACGATCAAATTTGCAAACAAATTGAGATTGAGCGACTTGGTCACGGTAAATTGAAGATGATTGAGTCAAATGCGGCTCTACTCAAAGTTGAGCAACCCGCCCGCATTTATTCATACAACATTCTTTTCCTCTATATAGAGGTTTTTTTCTCTAAATTATTTAAATCCCTGTTGGATTCTCTTTTTATTAAATTTTATTTTGTTTAAACTTATTTCAACCACATATTCACATAATAAAATATTTTATATGTAAACAAAAAATTTCTTTTTTTTTTAATGGTACATTAGACTAAACTAGGGATGGCAAAAAAACTTGAGCGGCTCGGCTCGGCTCGGAAAAAGCTCGAGCGGGGCCCGGCTTGGGTTCGGTTATACCGAGCCTCATTTTTTGGCCAAGCTTTGCTCGGCTCGGCTCGGGCTGCTCCGGCCCAAAAATGCTCAAGCCGAGCCCAAGCTTTTTTATTTAATTTATAGTACTTATAAATCGTAAAAATTTTAAATTTTTTTAAGTAAAAATGTAGATTTGACATTAAAAAAAAAAAAATTCGAATGGCTCGGCTCGCTAAAGCTCGAGCCGAAAGTTCTGGCCGAGCCTCATTTTTTAAATTTCAACTCGGGCCCAAAAAAGCTCAAATCGAGTTCGAACTTTTTTTTTTTTCGCTCGACTCGTTGACGTAGCTAGACTAAACTAGAAAAAGACCAAACCCAAACCGTTATAAAAATCAAAGCAAATGTCATAGTCCCACCACCGCTACTTGCTCATTCCTGCCTTGAAAAATCGTTCTTCAGCCAGCGCTGCTCCACCTCCCTCATCAGTCATCATTCCCGCGGCCCCTCCCTGCCCGTCCATTTCAATTTTCTCTTTCTAGATCCCAAAAAACCCCACGATCTGCGATGGGTTCATCATCGGAGGACGAGGGGGAGGAGTATTTGTTCAAAATTGTGATAATCGGAGACTCAGCAGTTGGAAAATCAAATTTACTCTCTCGATACGCCAGAAATGAGTTTAATATGCATTCAAAGGCCACCATTGGAGTTGAATTTCAGACGCAGTCGCTTGAATTTGATGGTAAAGAAGTTAAGGCACAGATTTGGGACACCGCTGGGCAGGAACGGTTCCGTGCAGTTACCTCTGCGTACTATCGCGGTGCCTTTGGTGCTCTCGTTGTTTATGATATTAGTAGAAGGTCTACTTTTGATAGTATCTCCCGTTGGCTTGATGAGCTCAAGAGTACGTTTCTTCTCCCTCAAACTTTTTCCTACTTTTATCGGGTTTCAAGTCCACTACTCGGGGCATGTTGTGTCAGTTTGCTCAACAATTTGAAATATACTATTTTAAAGGGGGTAGGGTAAAAGGTTGAATTTTCATAGCAATCTTGATGATGATTTATTGGTCGTGCTTTGATGGATTGATTCTCTTTGTGATGAAATGGTAGCCTCCTAGCTATTGGAGAAGTATGAGCAAATTAGTTTATTTTGTTTTAAAGTTGAAAGAATTACAACAGAGGGGCAAGGTACAACCTCCATGATCCATGCTGACACTTATAATTCTTGATTTTGTTAAAGTACGCTTAATGGTTATACCTTGACTAAAATTGGTAGTATGTATACGTACTTAAATGTGTATATTACATTTCAGGTGTCTAAGCATTTTACACGTTTTCTTTTGTCTATGTGAATATTTGCATACGGGTAAGTTTAGAAACTAAGATGGAATTTCAGTAATATCTGATTTCAATATGATAAATGTGGGTTATTATGATGATTAGGGTTTCGGTAAATGTGAGTGCATTTTTGGTGTTCTACTATTTAGGAAGAGTAATGTTATTCATCCTCAGTGGGGTTACAAACACAGTCTAGGTGGAGAGGTTTGTAACCCCAGTGAGATGAATAGCATTACTCTTAGGAAAAAGTAGGAGAGGCAGTATGTCTGATGATTTAGCTGTTTACAATCAAGAGTTTAAAATTAGGGGTGGTATTAGCATTTGTAAATTTGGGAACTGTTTGAATTCTATTTTAGGTTTGCTATTACCTTCTTTTTCATGATTAAAGAGATTGTGCGAAGTGGGAGCAGTTGTCCGGCCTCCTAAACAGTGAGCAGGAAAAAAGAGTTCTACGAATTTCAACGCCCAAGAAACATGATATACTGATATTGCTTAACATTCTAGTTTTTAGAAATTTATGGGGCAAATAATTTTTCCTCTACATTTAAGCCTTATGGTCATGATTCTTAATTTGACAGGATCTTTAACAAATTGGTTTGCTAATTTCTATGTACAACTACTTTAATTATAACAAAAAAAATATAGGGAACATTACAGAGTTAGTCCCCAACCTATAGACATTTCAACTAGGTCTCCCATCTATTTTGGTTGATCACATTGTTATTGGTTTTGTGGTATTGTTAATGCCCTTTTTCATTATTTTGACTGTTAACAATGCACATGCTCCTCACATGTTTATTTTTGAGATGTAAATTGGTGAATACACTGGTTGGATAAAAGAAAAAGTTAAGGGAAAGGAAAAAGAAAAGGAGAAATGAAAATGATAAAAGAAAAGTAAAGGTAAAAATGATAAAAATCTTTACAGCTCCACCCCCAATCTGCTGCCACCTGCCGGTTCCCATACCATACTATTTATTTATTGAAGTGATGAAAACTATATTCCAGCAAGTATCTCATGAGTTGGAGTCAGCTATACTTAAACAGATTTTACTGTTGTCATGTATCTCTAAGCTAAAAGGCATAACTGCATTTGAGTCTTTGACAGTGGCATGCCTTCCATTATATTTGTGTTATTGAGGAACTTTTAAAAGCCGTATGAACCAATTCATTGTTTCTTGCAATTGTGGAGCTATATAGGAGTCTGCGTTTTAGATATATCAAGGAATCAGCCACAAAATATGTGATGTCTTGATGATGAGTATTCATCAGCATATGGTTAACGAGCCTTAAATGGATCCAGTTTCCCAAATGTAAAATTCAAAACTTCGAAGGATGTATTCCATTTCTAATAATTTAGGTAACAGTGTCCTTCAACCTCTTAGATGTATTATCCTTGATAAATTTGGACTCCTCTCAAGACATAAGTGACCGTGTAATCAATTAAATTGTAAGGTTGTGGGAAAGGATTTATTCCCTTTTCATTAGACATAAGCCATGGAACATTAACTAAAGCAATTGAAACATTTTCCCTAACAAATATGAGGTCGGCTAGATGAAACATTTTTCGCCACTCTATTTGATTCATTGTTTAATCTACTTGAAAATCTAGAGCAACTAGATCCTTATTAACTACAACTTGCCTTTAAGTTTTGGTCTAACCCTCTCTTACAAATAGGGTCTCTTTAAGCCTACACAAAACATGCCCCGACCACCTAAGTTGGCACCACATCCAGTATGCAATAATTTCTTAATTCACAATACTTCATTCCCATTTTTTATTTTTCACGTTATTGTTTGGTATTATATGCTTCTTGAGAAGTATGTCATTATGGTATTGTTCAGATTTACGTCTTTTATACCCATCTCAAATTAGTTTATATTATTGCCTCGAGAAGTTCAACTAAAGAGCCACTCATCATGCAGCTCACACTGATACAACTGCTGCAATGATGCTTGTCGGGAATAAATGTGATTTGGAGAGCATTAGGGATGTGAGTTTGGAGGAAGGCAAAAGCCTTGCAGAATCAGAAGGCTTGTTTTTTATGGAGACGTCTGCATTGGATTCGACAAATGTTAAAAAGGCATTTGAAATTGTTGTCCGAGAGATTTATGACAATGTCAGCAGGAAGGTCTTGAATTCGGATTCCTACAAAGCCGAATTATCAGTCAACAGAGTTTCCCTTGTTAATGATGTCTCAAATGGATCAAAGCAGACTCAGGGATCCTATTCTTGTTGTTCCAGGTGATTCAAATTCTACAAATGGAGGCCTGTCTTATTGGTAATTTTAATTATTTGATTTTGTTGGTCCATTTTTTTCTTAATTTGTTAATTATAGAACGATTCCTTAATGATGGGGAAGATGGGATATCATAGTTCTATATTAAAGATTAATTTTTGTCATTAGTACCGGGAGAATATTATGAAACTCATTGTTCTGGAAATGTAAATCACATAATAGGAGGCTTTTTAGTTTTTGATATAAGATTGCTATTACTGATTTCTTTACATATGGATTATCCTGTTTCGTTTTTTCCATTCCGTCAGACACAAACATCTATTAGTTTTAAGGCTTAATCGGCATGATAAGAAGACCCGAATTTTTAGATCCATCAGATGAACTCTCTTACATGCATGTCCCTGAGGACAAAAAATGAAGAAGTGGTGAAGAATAAGCCCGTGGTATTGAAGAATGATAAATTGTGTTGGGACTGCATGACTGTGGGAGAGTTGAGCAGTGGGATGCAAACATTCATGGTTCATTTATTCATTTGTCAAGGGGTAGGCACTGAAAATGATCATTTTCTTTTGCTTGGGTGATAATCTAGCTTAACATATTAAAATATGGGAATATTAATTTAAAACTGCTAAGTTCAAAAGAAAGTGAAGAGAAAATGAACACAACTTGAGCACTTGGATCCAAACAAGATTTGATATTGTCTGCCCAACTTAGAGTGTAACGATTAAAATGCCTTTAATCATAGAAACTAATATCTCCACCTTATTTTCCATCACCTTCCTCTTTCATTTTGCTTCTCTTTGTACAAACTACTCTCTCTCTTTAAAGTTCCTTCCTCACTATTTCTCGACTTTGAGCTCACTATTTCTCGATCATCTTGCTTAATTCTCTCTGGGTTTTTCGGAAGGAGGGATCTTGAATTAGTGAATGAGTTTTTTTATATCAAGTGCTATCTTTCTCAATTCGAAAGAATTTTTGCAAAATATGCATTGTAGTGTGCGACTCCTAATGGGTAATTTTTACATAATGCCAAGTAATATTCAAAATTCATGAAGCAGTAGATAAACTAGAGTGATCCTTTGTACTATTTAATTTGTAAGTTGCAGAAGAATTACTACACCATACACCTTTAAACTTTTGATCGTTATCTACCAATAATATTCCTCCATTTCAACAAAGTACATTTTTTTGGTCATTAAGTAAGATCCTCTAGTCTTCCTCTTTATGTGTTTCCACTAGGGTGTGTATAGGCACTAACTTGTTTTAAAAAGATCGAGGTATTTCAGATTGTTTATTGAATTTAAGACATATAAGAGTTTTGAATCAAAAAGAATAAACAGTCGAGGTTTGAGGTCGAGTCACAATAGAAAATGATCTCAAGAACAAGTGCAAAAATTGCCCATCAGCCGTCGCTTTGAGGTCATTGACTTAGCCTAATGATTATTATTTATAAATAATATTACTTGTTTTCCTCGTATGAGTAGCACTGCATTTTGAAGAATGTCTAGGTGAACTTTTTCTCATTTATCGCCAAATCAATACCTACCAGATTATTCAACCCTATCCTTTTCTATATTCTACAAAGTGGCTCTCGCAATTATATTCTAGATGAAGGGTCACCTGGATACGATTGACAATCCAACTCAGAAGAAAAGTTTACCTCCCACATCCCACCACTACAAATGCTTACAAACATGGTTCTAAATAGTGTAAAATATGGCTAGTCTAAAACGTGTAAAGAGTGATTAGACGACAAGGCCAAGTTTCGCGCCTAGACTTCTTAGAACAATGCTTATAAGTAAATATAGTATTAAATAGATTTCATCAAACCGTTGGATTTGTGAAGCCTAATATCTCTGTCAAAAATTTTTGAGTGTTATAAGGGTACTTTGGAATATTCGCACATGTATTGGGTCATCCTATTATATTTCTCCGGGTATTAGGATGAATATCCTTTATGCAAGTCAATGATGTCATTGTAGACAGAAATAGAGCGATGTGAGTTTAAAATACATTGTAATTCTCTTCTTCGACATAGTGTATTTCACAACAGCATCAGACAGATGTAGCTCTCGTATTAAGAGTGATCCACCTTAAATCATGTCTCTTCTTGCTTTCTCTGTTTTGCGTTATTAATTGCTCTTGGTAACATGGATTATGCGTTTAATCCATTACCCCCTTTTTCGCTATTCTATTTTATGTATTTCTATATTTAGATGAAGATTTAAAGCAACTCGAGATTTTTGTAGTAAGATTTGACAAAATTTGACGCTTGTCGTCGATGTGGTGAAACTCTCATCTTAACATAGGCAGGGAACCAAAAAGGAAAATATATTAATAGCAATAATCAACTTCTAAATCACAACCTATCAACATAAATAAAATATAGTAAAAATAGTTAAACTTCAAAAGGTAAAATCAACTTGAGCTGACCCCACCTAATAGTTGAAGCTGCATTTTTAAGTTTCTAGAAGCTTTTCTGCTCCCATGACTAAGATATCTTCCTAATCTTTTTCCATAATTGCTTTAGTTTTGATGAAAATAAAACCTGATAGTGATGGATAAAGATTGTGACTTGTTTCTTCTGCTTAGACCTTCTTGTTGGAAGGTTGGAATTTTTCTTTGATGCCGTCGGTACTTTAGCACTCTCATTGTGATCTCCAAAATCTTGCCATCTCAAACCCATTCTTGCAATAAAAATAGTCTTCAACAGTCTTATCAATTTCAACTTGTGTGTTCATAACGAATGGACCGTGCTGAACTACCGGTTCGTTGAGTGGCTGCCCACCTACCAAAATAAATCTCAATATCTTGGAAGAAGATGTGTTCCATACACTTAGGCCATCTCCCGGACCCAAAATCAGTAGGTGGTGAGCTGTCGAGGCTGGCGAGTTGTGGGAGCCAAACACACCTTCACCTTCAATTATGTACACAAAAGCATTCCATGATTCTGGGATATTTTGATGGTATTGAGTGTGGGGTTTTAGAATTGAATCAAGGTACAGAGTAGGTGTTCGAGTATAAACCGGAGAATGAATCCCCATAGCTTCCCCTGCAATGACTTTAACCTCGACCCCATCTTTCTCTGCCCTCGGAATGTCCTCATCCAGCAGTTCTTGATACCTTGGTTCAATCCTGTAGAAGAACAAAGTAGTTTTATTTGTTTTGCATCATTCAAACAGAAAAGAATCGAAATCCAAGTAGGGTATCTTACATTTTGTCCTCAGAAGAGAGATTTATCCACAATTGCAAACCTCTTTGAGTACCTTCTCCAGCCGGCATTTCTGAGTGAATAATACCCCTCCCTGCAGTCATCCACTGCACGACCTCGAGCAAGAAAACTCTTAAAGTGTGTTCATGTTCGTGTAAACAGATAGAATTTGATAGGTCAAAGTTCCTATATACCTGGACATCACCAGTGCGTATTGTACCCTCGTGACCAGCAAAATCTTGATGAGTGAAGGCCCCCTAAAAGATTATACTGGATAATTCAAGCTTCCCAACAATACAAAACCAAAATTGAAAAATGTTTTTAAACAAAGTTACCTGCAACATGTATGTAACAGTCTCAAAACCTGTTAAGACAAGATTCATCAATCTAGAACACAGTCTAAGTAAAAATATGCTGCAAATTAGGGGACTCAGAAAAACCTCGATGGGGATGGTCGGGAAATCCGGCCGGAGGTGAAACTGTAAGACCAAACGGAATAATAGATTAGTATGGCTTCCCGTGTTGTCTAATTTAACATACCTAACATGCTATAAGTGGATAATCATGTGTCCACCTGCAAACTCGTCCAACATGAGGAAAGGATCGAAGTACTTCACTTCAGGCCTGAGAAACATACACACGAAACATATCAAACATGATATAAGTGCTCGGAACGATTGAATCTGAACCAACTTGAAATACCCAGACCACAAATTTTCAGTAAGAATAGATAATACCTTCCAATGCTTCTTCTAACAACAGCACCGACACCTTCACTCTGAGGTTTTGCCGAGATTTTCTCGGTAACCAATCTTGGCTGCTCGAAAAAAGAATCTTGATTAGATGCAGACATCGTATAACAATAAACTGCCTTCGTATTTTTCGGGTTTGGATTCAAATTCAACAAGAATTGAGTAGCTTCTGCAGCTCTCATATATAAACCTGTCCTTCAATTTTCACTCTGTGTATATATGCATGTCCATATGAATATACATATGTGCATAATGTGTGTGTATATATAAGGAAACTTTGAGATAGTTGGGCTGTGACACAAATGGGGAGGTTATTGGAGGTGTGGGGAGAAATTGAAAATGGAACCAATTGTTCAATGTCGGACCAATCATATGATGATATCAGCCTCTTGTCATCATGATGGAGTCCTGAGTCATGTCCTCTTGTCAAAACTAAGACAATACATGTGAAAAGAGTTTTTGCTTTAAATTTTTTGTCAAAAACTAATTAATGAAGAACAAAATGTCAAGTATATCATTGTGGGGAGAAGTCGATTGACCGAGGGAACTCTTTGCGTCAATGTTATCAAAATCGGATTGAGTCATATCGGATCAGATCAACTATAAAAATCAAGAACTATTTAATTAGAAGTAGGTATTAGGTAAGAGAATCAAAAAATGACGAACGGCTAAGGAATATGGCTTATTCACTAACAACATGTTTGTTATTATTCTTCTTTTTGTCTTTTCCTCCATATACAAGACAAATTTCATAATAAAAAGAAAAAGAAAAATAAGTTAAATGAACCATTTATTTTATCTAATATTACATATCTAACATACTCTTTAGAGAACACCCCTTTTCAAGAATTGTTATATAAAATAAATCCAAGTTAATTAACAAACAAAAAATTCCAAAATAAAAATATTTTAAACCGATTAAAGAATACTAGAGTACAATTACCCTCTAATACGTGTATTTCTTTATTTTTATAATAGACACGTTTAGCGTTCAATACTAAATAAAATATAAAATATAATAAGAAAGATTTTAATATTTTTTTTTTATTAATATTGTTCAGTATTATATAATTTGCTGTCGGCACATGCCAATATAGATATTGTCTATGGATTGTAATCGCCTTTCTCACGAGGTCAAGACTTTTGGCATGTTACTATCATATCCCAAAAGTAGATAAGGGGTTACATGTTAGCCTTAATCTAAATGACACCATTCACACATAAGCATTGCGTTATCTTCTTTGCCAACTATGTCAAACAAATGAGACTATAATTTTTCCCTATTTGATTTTTCATTTGTGTTGTGACGATACACGAATTTAAGTCTTCGTGTTCATGATGAATAAAGAGTCGTCAAGGATTAAATATTTGTAACGGTAATCATAGGAAAGAAGACTTTAACGAGTTATTATGATAGTTATAGATTGATTTAAATTTTTTTATTTTGTCCCAACCCCGTTAATTGCCGTCATGAATATCTGATTTAAAATTTTTGAAATTCAAATTATACATAATGGAATTCTGACCATTTCAATATTACTTGAAGAGGGAAACGCCTATTCTTTTATTTCTTCACCATCAATGTGAGAGAGAATGAACACCACAATCTTCACCATTTTCACGGAGAGAGGAATTTACTTATGTTCTTAAGAATCCAATATATTTGAACCTATAGGTAATGTGCATAAACTATATACAATCATGCTTGGGTGTCGGAAAGAATTTGACACCCTAGGTGACATACACTCACAGTTTGGGGTGGGTGGGGGGATTTTTTTTGCATTTTATATTCACGTGGATCCCATGCGGGGCCCATTCACATGTGAGATTAGGTCATCCAAGATGTCAAATTCTTTCTGACAACATGGGTTAATTCAATTTCAAATGTCACATGAATAACATCACATTAATGCAATGGTCATAATTTCGCATGTCACGTAAGGCCACATTTGACATAGTTTTGTGAACAATATAAACGATAAAAACATATATTTATGAATTCCTCCCTACAGTGACACGTGGAATGCTGATTTTATTTTATTTTTATTTTTATTTTTTTGATATCCAGGTATCCCAAGTCCCAACTTACACCAAACTATGTCCTGGACCACCAATCCCCGGCCCCTCAGTGATGGATGGAGGTTAACCGCGAGATATGTCCAAGTTGACCAGGGTCCGTGCACCTTTTATATTCATAACCCCAAGGGAGCCTTCCTCCATGTGACATGTAGAGCAGTGGTTATGACCAAAAAATATGTGGAAGAAATTATAAATTTATGGAGTCGTGATTTAATCTTTACTTATTCTCAGACGTTAAAATGGGGAGACATTAACTTGAGGAAATTTTTTAGGAGAGATATATAATTAGAGAAAATAAATTAATTACCAAGTGAGATCAGATAAAGATTCTATTCTTATCTTATATAAATAAATTATTATCTATTTTCATATAAAAAATCTTGAATTATGATCTGAATTATATTAAAAAAATCTCAAAATTTTATATTTCTGAATATGTAGGTAATTACGATAATTTTTCTAAAAAATTATACGAAATTAAATATCAATAAACTGTCTCGCCAGGCCCATAATGGCCTAAATGAGAGGGAGGATTTTCCTAAGAGAAGATTTTATAACTAAGAGATTAAGTTTCCCTAATTTTAAATTTAACAAACTAAGTTTAAAATTTCAAATCTCAGATTTTTTTTAAATTTTATTTATAAATTAATTAATTAAACATATATTTTATTAATTAAATATATTAAGATCACAATTCCATATAGTTTGGTTACAAAATTCATATAATTGGTCATATATTATTCATTGGTCACAAATCACAAATTTTATATATCACAAATTATTTTACGATCACGATTTAAAAAATTTATAGGTCACAAATCATAAATTTATATGTCACAATTTATTTATCGATCACAAATCTATCAAATTAATAAGTTACATACTATTCATTGGTCACAAATCACAAATTTTATGTGTCACAAATTATTTTACGATCACAGCTGTGAAATTTTATTGTTCATCAGTCACAAATCAAAATTTAATACATCACAATTTATTTATCGATCACAAATCACAAATATTATAAGTCACAACTTAGTAGACAGTCAAAAATTATCAAATTATCGGTCACGAATTTAAATTTTTTTAGATCACATATTATTTCTTGATCACAATTTATCTTTTTCATTGGTAACTTATTGTTTATTGGTCACATGTCAATCAATTTAATGGTCACAATCAACTAAATAATTTGTGACCACAACCAACACTTGTGACCACCACCGCCACCACCTCCCGACAACAACACAACCATCTCAAACAAATCAGCACATCACGGAAAAACACAACCAAATCGTCATGCCATTCTACCACCACATCACAAATCCAAATAATTAATCACAAACACCGTTTGTCCCACTCCGTCACCGTCATTGCCTCCACCCAACCAACAACCTAACCACAACCATCTCAAACCACAACCACCCTTTCTTTTCTCTGACAGATCGCCACAACAATGTCAAACCACAACCACCCATTCTCTTCTTCAGCTCCGATCTATAGCAACTGCTACATCTCTACTTCGGATTTGATCTGCAAACCCCCCTATCGAGGACATCCCCTATCCCGATCCGCACTACCTGCAACCCCAACCACCTATGACTAGAGAAAAAATGGAGGAAATGAACCCAATCTGCGGCGCCCCCATGATCTGCAGTAGTGAGCACCTCGCTACTGCACACAATAATCGCAACGAAGAGAGGGGGGGGGGGGGGGGGGGAATTGACGGTGGCTTCTTTATGCATGACATCGAACAGAGGGAGCGATAGTGATGCTGCTTGTAGTGGAGAGCATGGCACGCTTCTCGAACGGTGATGGTTCAACTATGATAGAGATGGGGGCATCTGTAAGAGTGTGGGTATAGAGATAGAGAAAGAAGTAAGAGATTAGAGAGAGAAAGGAAAGGGGAAAATAATTAAGGTTTGATATGATAGTTGGTGGGGTGCATGGGGTAGTGGATATATAGATTAATTTAATTTTATATTTTTATTATTAATATGGAATTATCATCTGATTTTTGTATAATCAAACATCAAATATGATTTTTGAAATGATAACTTAAAAATCCCGATTTCACGTAATTTCCACTTTTCCTTTTTCTCAAGTCCCCTACCCTTATGAGACTCGTACAGAGAAGAAATGAAGTTTCATGACTATGTCAGCCGGGCCGGGCCGGGCCGGGCCGACAACCCCTAAATACATTTACTATTGTGTACGAGGTAACATTTCTCTCTTTATCCGATCAAAAAAAAAATATAAAAGAAATAATATACAAAAAAGATTGCAAAATCTATATATGTTCCCCAATTTAATGTTATTTGCTTCAGCTATCCTAAACCTTTCGTATGAATTTCATGTTATATCTTATTGAGTTAACTACTTCACTCAAATGTGCCTGAATTTCATTCTTAAGGCTAGTTCAGTGTAGCATAGTTCTAAAACAACTCATCATTGTCCAGACGCCGGCAGGTGGTTGGGCTTATCCCACAATTGTTCAACTCTACCGTACCATCAAACCGGACATATATATCGAACTATTAGATAAGCTATTCAACCAAAGAATTATTGTTTTTGTAGTTGTTACGATTTTTTTATAAAGTTAGATAATCTTAATATATTCGATCATGATATTGTAGCAAGTTGATCGGCTGCTAATTGAGGTTCGATTAATCTAATCCAAATTTTGTAACAATGGCCGCTTGAAATAATTAATGGGTTTTAGCCATCATTATAAGATAATTATAATTGGATCTCATAATTAATTAAGGTTTATGAGTTGATTATTCATTTATGTTATGAAAGTAATGATATCATCTATTGACTAAACTTGTTGTGGTAAATTGGAACAAGTCTCCAAAACGCCACTCTTAAAAAGGTATCATATGGCCTTGTTCAAAGAATAAGAAATAATTCCACATTGATAAGAAAATAAGATAATTACGTCGTATAACACTAAAATATACATGATATGATAATTTGGGGAAGAAATCGAAATTGCTCCATAGGGCATAGACCACACATATCTAGCCTACGTACATCTAAAAGACACATCGGGAGCACATTTTATACTTTGCACGTACTCATCGTTATGAAACATGATTTT